GGGAGGGCTATCTGGGAGTTGCTAGTGTTCAGTATCACAGGAGAGCATCATACCACATCACTAGCCCAGAAAAAGATCCAAAGCCAAAATTTGAAGTACAGTTTCTACAGAATACATACCACTTTTGCACTACTGAAAGGTTGTAAGTTGAACCATTATTGGTTGGGGACCAACTGTAGTTTGACCCTTTCTGGAATGCCCTAGGAATGGAATCACATAGTAGGTAGCCTTTTGAGTCTCTTTGTTTTTTTCACATTTAGCAAGTTGTGTTAGAAATTCATCAAAGTATTATGAATTGGTAGTGGCTTTTCATTGCTAAGTTGTATGTATTGTATAGTGCACCATACTGTATCCATGAACAGTTTACTTGGGTGTTTTTTTTTTTTTTTGGTATTTATGAGTAAATCTGCCATTAAGCATTTGTGTATAGGTTTGTATGAACATAGGTTTCATGTTCCTTACATCAATATGAGAAGTAGAATTTTAGGCTACTAGTATACTAATGTGTTTAACTAAGAAATTGTCAATTTGTTTTCCAGAGTGCTATAGCATTTTACATTCCTACCAGCAGTGCATGAAAGGTGTGGTTTCTTCCCTTCCTCCCCAGCCCATACATTGTCTTGTTGTTTGTTTGCTTCTGTTTTGTTTTAGCCATTCTGATAAGTGGGTATCAAGTACCTCTATGTGGCTTTAATTTGCATTTTCCCTATTTACTTATGATATTGAGCATCTCTCCACATTCTTATTTGCCATCTATATGTCTTTGATGTAGTATCCAAATCTTTTGCCATTTTTGAAATTGGGTTGTTTTCTAACTGGTTCAAGAGTTTTAAAAAACATGTTCTGAATATAAGCCCTATTTTGCAAATATTTTCTCCAGTCTGTGGATTTTAATTCTATCAGTGTCTTTTGCTGAGCAGTTTTACATTTTGATGATATCCAGTTATCTGGAGTGAGCTTTTGGTGTTGTATCTAAGAAATCTGTGTCTAGCCCAGTGTCACAAAGCTTTTCTTGTAGAAATTTATATTTTTGTATTTTAGAGGTCGGCATACTTTTTCTGTGAAGAGCCAGATGGTGAATGTTTTTGGCTCTGTGGGCCATACGGTTGTTACTAGGTTGTTACTACACAGTGCTGTCATTGTAATGAAAAAATAAGCCATAGAGAGTACATAAATAAAAGAGAGTGATTATGTGCCAGTAAAACTTTATTTATAAAAATAAATAATGGACCAGGTGTGGTGATGCACACCTATAATCCCAACTGGTTGGGAAGTAGTGGCAGTAGGATTGAGGTCCAAGGCCAGCTGGGGCAAAAGCATGAGACCCTATTTTAAAAAAATGAAACAGAAAGGGCTAGAGATACAATAGTACCACCAAAAAACAAACAAAACAGGTAATGGGGCACATTTATTCTTCAGGCCATGGTGACAGATCTCTGTTTTAGAAGATCCACTTTTGGACTGGAGGTGTGGCTTAAGAGGTAGAGTACCTGCTTTGCAAGTAGGAAGCCCTGAGTTCAAACCCCAGTCTCACCCCCCCCCACCAAAAAAATTAGAAGGCCCACTTTTTACCAGGCATAAAGTATAACAAGAGAGGGATAATCATTGTCTGATTTATCATCCTGAAGGCAGAATGAGGAAAAAGAAGAGTACTCGCCTACTATGCATAAGTCCCCTGGATCAGTACCCAGTACCTACCCCTCCCCCCAAGAAAAGGAAGGAGAAAGAGAAATATTTGAATCACATCTTGAACAAACGTAAGCATGCATATTAATTTTCAGCATGAAAACTTGTATGGTTTGGATTAGGCTTCAGCAAGTATTTTTGTTCATTGTTTGTTTTGATCTAATATTCTATTTTAAGTCTCATGGACAGTTTAACAGATTCACTGGAGTTTTTCATGATTAAATTTTAATGTTTTCTACTGAAAATTGATATTTATTTATCCATCCCCCATTAATGTACATTTAGATTATGTTAGGTTTTGTACTTTTATATGTATGTTCCTCTTGGATGTTAACCTGCACATGTGTGATTATTTCTGTAGAACAGATTCCTTCGGTTCTGAGTCACAGGGTAGTGGTTCACATTGAAAATTTTGGTAGGAGCTGCCAACTTACTCTCCAAAAAGGTGGTACTGTCTTGTGCTCATGTCAGTCTATGAGACTTTCTCCCCCTCTTATTCTTACTTGCACTGGATTTAATCAGATTTTCTTTCATCTTCCTGGAAGAAAGTAGCATCTCATTTTATTTTGCATTTTCTTCGTTTTTGAGCTCCTAATGGCTTTATTACTGATTTGAATTGCTAACATCTTTAAATTGTAGTTGGCTGCTTTGCCCACTTTTCTTTTGGTAATACGTTAGGTTTCTTTCTTGTTGGTCTGTAGATACTCATCTGTGCTGACATTTTAGGCTGGATAATTTCTTGGTTGTAGGCATTGCCCTGTGCCTTGAAGAATATTTCATTAACACCATCTTGATTTCTAACCACTAGATACTGGGATCTAACCCAAAATGTCTGCAGACGTTGCACACTGTCCAGGGGGAGAGGGGAGTTGCCCCAAGAACCCACTGATCTAAATAATGCATAGCAAGTATTATTTTCTCCCAGTCTTACTGCTAGTCTTTGTTTCCAGTGCTTTTTTCCATACAGTTTTGAGTTTTATGAAGTTTGACTTTTCAGGCTTTTCTTCTTCAATCCTTACCTACTTTATAGAGCGCAGGAAGCATAGAAACCTTCAAATAGGTAACAGAAATGCTGGGAAATTGTATTAATTTTGCCCTTTTATCTGAGAGTAGGAGGATTGGGAAGACCTGAACATTTCCACCAGGAATAAAGAAAACAGGCCTAATTCTTCTCAGCATTGATTCAAGGGGCAGGAGGAAAGTCTGTGCAAGAGGTGTGTTCAAAGTTTTATGTAATGACTGGCAAAGCTTGCCTTTTTTTTAAAAAGGGGAACTAGGGATGGAGCCCAGGGCCTTATGTATTCCAGGCAAGTGCTCTACCACTGAGCTACATTCCCAGTCCTGAAAAGCTGTTTAAAGATGGCATTGGGTTTTTCAGACATAATGCAGAGCTGCACATGCACACCAGGGATCAGGAGGAATGGGGGATTGCCCGCTGAGACCTCTAGGCTGGTCAGCACCCACTGCATGATGAGTACTTACAGGCTACAGGCAGGGATGCAGGACTTCTTTGGCTAGGTCACAACATGGCAACATCTATGCACAAACCCATTGTGGGCTGCGCTTTCAGAACTTGCTTCTCAGCTGCATTAACCCAGACACTTTCCAAAGCCATCCTGGGCTTTGATGTTTTGTCACTGAAAGTAAAGACTACAGCAAGCTGTGAGGGTTTCCAAGCCTGCAAGCCCTGAAGGCCAAGCCTATCTGACTGGGAGAAAAATGTTAACCTCTTTCTAGCTCCATCCCTCTTTCTTTGGGGATAAAGGGTACAGTGCTTTCTCAACCACAGCTTGGGCTGCTGTGGTGGAAGTCATGGGCTCCTCAGGATCCAGCTGTGGTCATCCGTGGACATGGGAATAAAGTGGTTAGGAATCCTTGGCAAACTTTCAAAACAGCATGAATTTTCTTACAGGCGCTTGAGCTATGGTGCTGGGATCATGTGTAGGTTTCTTTAAAGCCTTTTTTTTTTTTTTAAGGTGCAGGGCCTTGCACATGCTAAGCAAGTGCTTTCCCACTGAGCAACATTCCCAGCCCTCTTTAAAGCCATCTTAGTGGACATGGTTGAATTGGGAATTGCTCTGTTTTATGTTAATAGGCTTTTATTTTTTAAAGTATTTTTAGGTTTACAGAAAAATTGTGATGTAACTACAATGAGGTCCCATACATTCTTCCCCCAACAGCCATTTCCCCTGTTTTTCACATCTTGCGTTAGTGGTACATTTGTTATAGTTAATGAAACAATATCAAAATATTAACTGAAGCCTGTAATTCACTCTTTGTGTTGTATATTCCTTGGGCTTTGACATATGTCTGCATCTGCCATTACAGTAGCCTGTAGAACACTTTGCTATCCTAAAAATCTCTAGTAATCTGCCTGTTAATCCTTCCTCACTCCCATCCCTGGAAACCATTGACCTTTTTTTTTTTTTTTAAACTGTCTCTTTTCCAGAATGTTATATGGTTGAAATCGTATAACCTGTGGCCTTTTCCAGGTTGTTTTCTTTCACTTAACAATATGCACTTAAAGTTCCTCCTTGCTGAGCAGGGGATGTAGGTCAGTGGTAGAGTGCTTGCCTAACACGGGCAAGGCCCTAGATTGGACTCCCCACCCCCAAACCCACAGATTGATTGTTTTTTTTTTTTTTTTTTTTGACACTGGAGGTTGAACTCAGGGTCTTATGCTCACTAGGCAGGCGTGCTACCACTTGAGCCATGCCTCCAAGCCCTTTTTGCCTTGGTTATTTTTTTCAGATAGGTCTCTCATTATTCCCGAACTGGTCTGAACTGACATCCTCTTACTTATGCTTCTCCTGTGTAGCTGGGAATGGCAGGCACACACCCCTGTGCCCAGCTGTTGGTTCAGATGGGGATCTCCTGGACTTACTTCCCAGCTGGCCTTGAGCTGCAATCCTCCCAATCTCTACCTCTCAAGTAGTTAGAATTATAGATTTGAGCCACTGTGCCCAGCCCAAAAATATTTTTTAAAGTTAAAAAATTAAAAATAAATTTCCTGTTTGTCTTTTTGTGGTTTAGTAACTCATTTCTTTTTAAGCACTGAGTAATAACTCCATTTTATGGGTGTACCATAGGAATGGAGTTTATCCATTCATCCACTGAAGGACATTTGGTTGCTTCCAGGTTTTGGCAATTATGAATAATAGCATCCATAAGCAGACTTTTTTTTTTAATCACCATAGTTGAACTTAGAGTGGTAAAAAGAAAATCTCTTTAAGTATAAGCATAGACATTATCCCTGCCCTCACATACCATAGTATGAACATTTGGAATTTACTCCATCTTGTTTTTCTTTGCAGATTTTTTAAAAATACAATGTCTAATGGTTATGAAGACCACATGGCCGAAGACTGCAGGGATGACATTGGGAGAACGAATCTAATTGTCAACTACCTCCCTCAGAACATGACCCAGGAGGAGCTACGAAGTCTGTTCAGCAGCATTGGTGAAGTTGAATCTGCAAAACTTATTCGCGATAAAGTAGCAGGTAAAGAAGTTTCTGTGAAGGGGTGTGTGCGGCCGTCCTGTTAAGTACTGTCATCCCTGACTGTGACTGTCATGTTCCTTAGTGTAGAATAACTACAGCCTGAGCCAGGCTTAGTGTTGTACACCAAATCTTAGCAGGAGGATTGTGAGTTCCAGGCCAGTCTGGGCTATATAGTGAGATCCTATCTCAAAAAAACAAAAAAAGGCAATAGCAAAAAAAGAAAAGCAAGAATAGGCTGGAAGCTGTGGCTTTGAAGTTTCATTTTGTGTTTGTGTGTTGAACTCTTGTTTTTCCAGTGTCTTAGTGTAAAATTGTACATAGGTTCCCTAAAGGGGAAAAGAATCTTTTTTTTTTTTTTTGGTGGCAATGGGGTTTGAATTCAGATCCTCATGCTTGCTAGGCAAGCGCTCTGCCACTTGAGCTACTCAGCCAGCCTGAAAAATTATTAAGACGGAGTGCATATACAAAATATAAAACATGGGAGAGGATAATGAAGAGCCATTGGAAACAGGGACTCCTCTGAGAACTGGAAGGGCCAAGGAACATTATTAGCTTGACCCCACTTGCATAGGTTGATCAAATCCCATATGTGGAAGAATCCCTGGTGAGTGCCCCGGCCTGGGGCAGGCACTGGCAGATCTGTCCCTGTTTGTTCAGACTCCCAGTCATGGACCAGCCCGTGGGCAGCCCTTCCTTAAGTTTAGGCCACTCCAACTATTATTGCTCCATCAACTTGAACTTCCGTACCACACTGAGCTTGTTCCACTGTTCAAATTCCTTGCAAAGACACCTGGGACTCCCTGTAACCATCCATGAAGCAGGATGGTGGTACCTATGCCCTGATGGTGGTATCCTGACTACCTTGCAGATGCTTGTGGAAGGCCCAGTTCTTATTAAGGCCCTGCTTATGGGATGGCCTCCATTCTAACAGTGTGACTTCAGGGACTTTGGAGCATAAGAGAAATCAGGTGCTACAAAGCTCTGCTTCTTTCCTTTTCTCCCCAGGAGCAATGTTGTTCTGAGAAACGTTCATCTTCTTTCTGCACCTCTTCCTTTTCCCCCTCCTCCTTCCACCTCCGTCCACCTCCTTCCTCTCTGCTCCACTTTGGCGGGCTGAGGAACAAGTAGTACTCTCAGGGCATTCTGGCTGCTGCCTGGTTTGTAGGTACCTTGATTCCTTATCTTAGAATCTAATTTAAAAGTTAAATACATTTTTTATCATGGAAAATTTCAAGTCTTCATGAACAAAGAGTAATATATTGAGCCCAATGTACCCATTGTCCTGGTTCATCAATCGTCAACATTTTACCAGTAACCTAAAGGTGCTTGACCCCTTAATGACTCCCCCCTACAGTTTCTCTGATGGCCATCTAGAGAATTAATTCCTCAGATGAGGGAATTGAACCCCAAAGCCCTCAAGTCTGTGATTTAATAAGTACCTCCTAAAGAGGAACTTTGGAATTATAAAACCTGAACAGTGTTAGAATGTTCCAGAACACCACCCTGAAAAAGTGGATTCTGTCTAGAGGGATTTTGAAATTCTCCAGTGCCTCTAACAAGTCTTTGCTTCTTTGCTTACGTTCTGGTGGGAGGGAATCTTCATCCATGTGTTGGAGTCTGATTCTCATTACCTGACTTCTTTCTCTGTTGGCTTGTTGTGGTTTTCAGAGGAATGTGAGCTATGCTAGTGGGAACACTTAGGTGGGGAGGTCAGTCCTGGGAGAACTGGTCTTAGAAGCCAGTGGAGGCAGCAAAAGTATGATTGGGAAATAAGTTCAGTTCAGAGGTAAAGTTGGTCTTCTTTCTCAAGCCCCAGTAGCATGCTGGGGCTTGTGGAGGAGGTACCTGGGCTTGTAGCTCAGCTTGGCCTCTCACTTCCTGTCTTTCAGATTCAATAAATGGAGCTTTCTGAAATATTCACTGTGCCCTCAGTATTCTCCTCCTATCATCAGTGTGTGAAAACTTCTTTGCTTGCTGATGCTGGGGCCATGGCATTGTCAGTCTGTCCTGACAATGTCCTGACCACTCTGCCCAAACCCTGGCCTAACCCTGCTTTCTTCTGGCTAGAGATTGCACTGCCCACCCCAGCAAGGGAGTCTCTTATGTCCAGTCAGATAGGCACATTGCCAAGGCCAGTCCTGGCCTACTCAGCTGGGACCACGGGTGACCCCTTCTTCACGACCACCATTTCAGTGTGTTTTCCCTCCTCTGGCCTCTGCCCCTCACTCTCAGCTAATAGCTGATAACCACCTCCTGTTTCACAGTGGAACTAACAGACGTTTCTACCTGTACCCTAAATCCCTTCCCTTTTTGGCTATCCAGGACACTCAAGCTATCTAAGTGCCCCTTTTCCTGGATTCCTCCATCAGTGTTGAAGAGTCAACTTTTCTAGGCTCCTTGACTTCTAGAAGCTCAGGGTTTCCCTCCATCAGCATTGTTGACATTCAAGACTGGATAATACTGTCTGGAGCTAGGCTATACATTAGAGGTTGTTGAGCAGTATCCCTGTCTTCCACCAACTAGAAACCAGTTGTGAAAACCAAAACATGTATCCAGACATTGCTATGTGTCTTGTGGGAGGCAGAATTGGCCCTGGGTGAGAACCACCACTCTTTGTTGTCCTTCTGCACACAGACTCTCCTATCTCTACTTCTAAAAGCATCCTCTTTCCCTGTCATCCTATCCTCAAAGCCACACTCTGTCTGTTGCAGCTGTTCCTTTTCCCAGCCTTGAATATCTGTGGTCCTTAAAGGTTATTCTGCAGTCCTTTTTTCAGAACCAGTACTTGGTTAAGAGGATCTGCCCTCACTGCTTCAGTGTCCCTTCAGTTTGCCACCAGAAACTGTCCTGAGTTTCTCTATACCAGAAAGCTCTCCTGAGCCTCAGGCCTTTCAGTACCACAGAGTCAGCTTATGCTAAACTGATCTTATACTGCAAGCTGGCTCTCCAGTGTCCTTCATCTTAGTGGATGGCACCACTGTCTGTACTGGCTCCAGTCAGAAATCAAAGGATGGCTTCTGACCTAGGTTCTGGTACTTATCTTCTGGATGTTTCTTCAGTTCATCCTTTCCCTGCATCTCCCCAAACATCATCCAAGCCCAGGAATGCCTTTGCCTTTGCCTGACTATTGCTATGGCCTCCTACTGACCCCCTGCCTTATCCCTTTGTCATACATTCTTCTCACTGCTGTAAAGGGACCTCTTCGTCTGCCCACATGTGACCCTGTCTCTCCCCTCCTTTAAAACCCTTCAGGTCTTGGGCTGTGTTTGCTTGGAGAGGCCTTCTGTAGCCCACCCAGCCAGTCTCATGCTCCACTTGTGGGTTCTCACAGCAACCAGGATGCCCTGCACCATGGGGTTTCCACACTGCACTGAGGTTGGAACTTTTTCATCCAGTACATCAGTATAGTTTTTGGAGGTAGGAGCCTTAATATTCTGTGTAGCCTAGATACAGCCTCAGTATTTGTTGACTGAATGAATGTATGAGCAAGAGAATGAATAGTGCTAGAGCCTGGGGACGTTCATTCATTTAGCAAATGTCTGTTGTGGGCCAACCACTGCATGAGTGACAATAGGAAGAACATGTGGTAGCTGGGGTGAAGGGAATGTCCGGTGTGTAGGCCTGAAAATTCAGAATATTTTGCTGGCAAGTAAGACACAGGTTCCCCTTGTTGGGGTCACAGCTTTTGTTGTTAGTTCTTTCAGCCACAAACACACAAACACTGTCACTGCAGACTCCAGTTATGCTGCTCAGTGCCTTCCTATACAGCCTGGCTCTGCTCTTTGCCCTGGTGTCTGGTCTTGTATGAGCCTGCAGTGGTCCAGTTTGACCCTGTAGGTGCCAAGAGTTAGCCCTCTATCCTCATGGACAACCCTTAGGCAGACACTGGATTTCCAGCTTTCAGACCATTTGCTCAGCTTCTTTTTGCCATGCACCTCTGGTCAGGATAGAGCCCACACCCCTGCCTGTAGCTCCTAAGACTCCTGGATGCCTGGCCCTTCATTCCTACTTGCTGTACCCTGTGACCACCCTTGGGCTGAACTAAACTGCTTGTCATTTCCCGGACATACCCTGCTCTTGGACTGTCAGGATTCTCTGAACACTGTCCCTTCTACACACTGCCAGTCTGATCACTTTTTTTCCTTGATACGAGTCATCTTTGTTACTTACAAAAAAAATTTAAACGTGAGATAAGCAAGAAAAAAAAGCTTAAATTACCCATAATCCCACCAGTTTCCTTGAAGGTATATGTCCTTCCTGACATTTTTTTTGTTATGTACTGTTTGTAAACAATCATGTACTTCACAAAAGAATGGGCAGGCACCCCGCAAGCTATACAATAAACTTTTCTTCCTGTATTTGAATATATTCCTTTGTGATGGAACGTCATACTATCCCATCATCACAGTGGTTGTGTAGTATTTGGTTGTTTGGTTTTTTTCATATTTATAAGCCCAATTGAGATGAGTATCTTGGCATAAGTCTTTGCTCCCTGATTATTTCCATACAGAGTCTTCTTAGAAGTGAAGTAGCAGATGGGAGAGCATTCTTCATAAGAACTTTTGGTCCCTGCTGCCAACTCACCCTCCCTTCCACCCAGCCCTCTGTCCATCCCCTGGGGCTGGCAGAATTTCTCTTTGCCAGCCTGATAACATGACAAATGACATTCAGTCATGGTGCTGATTTGCATTCCTAATGAAGTTAATCATTGTTTTCATATTTTTACTGGCTTTATTTCTCCTTTTGGAAAATACCCTTCTCATCCTTTGCCTACCTTATTTCTTTTGGGGCCCTTTACTGCTTCATACTTACTACCTGATGAATTCACTCCCTCCCTCTCCCTGCTCTTAGCCCCAGTCTCTCTCTTTTGGAGGTTTTCCCTGATGCCCCCATCGACCTTTAAAGAAAGATCTCATGACACCTGCCCTCTCCATGCAGAGGAAACCTCTCCTCCCCTAGCCCCATACCCCAGGCTGCTCTGAGGTTCCCAGTTCCAAGAAGCACCAAGGGATTAAACCATTATGTCTGGCAATGTAAGACACAGTGGCGAGGCATCATCTCTCCATTTTTAACCCTTGTCTGAAAAGTGAGAAATATGTTTGGAAATGTAAGAGTACTGGCCCAAGTTTATCAGGGAGATACCTGACAGAGCAGCAGAGGTGGTGTTCCATGCAGAGGCAGCCTTGTTTTTCCCTGGGCAGCATCCCTCTGAAGCTGTTCCTTGACCCCTGATAGTTTCTGGGGACTTGGAGAAATACAGGTCTGGGGCCCCACCTAGACACACCAAATCAGCCACTCTGGGGAGTTGGATCATCTGTGTTAAAACCAGGGCCCAGAATTGTATTCTACATTTCAAGGAAGTGAGAGCTGAGAAGCACCAGCCTCTGGAACATCCTCAGACCTCAAACCCAGGGTTTATCTAGTCTTTATCCCTCCTTCTTTTCTCTCTCTTCCTTCTTTCTCTCATCTCCCTACCTCATCTTCTGTACCATATGTCCATCTTCAGGATTCTGGTTGCCCTAATTCCAGGCAGGCCCTACTGCCCAAGCCCACAGCAGCCTGTGCAGGAGCCATGTTCAGCCTAACTTGGCACTTCTGCTGCTTCCAGCCCTCAGGCCTTTCTCTAGGCTGATCTACTTCTCCAAAAGGGAACAGCCCTGACTGGCCCTCTGCTTCTAGTGAGCAGGAGAAGCATCAGGAAGGAGCTTGGAAATGCAGATTCACATGTCTGCTGGCCTTCCCAGATACTGGCAGCTAGGGAAGAAACGGTCATTTAGGGGCTGCTTCCCTTTCTGAGGCCTCCCACCAGCCTCCTCCTCTCAGTGCTTACTGTCCAGGCCCGGGCTTCTCTGCATTACTATGAAGCTCCACCCTCCTTGGACACAAGCCTGGAAGGCTCAACCTGTAGAGGTGTCAGGAGCTGCCCTCTCCCATTCCCTGTAGAACTGCCTCTCCTGTCACACTCTCTGCAGTCCTTCTGCTAGTCTGGAATGACTAATGGAGGCTCCCCTGGGCTTTACGTGAGCTTCTGCTGCATGACTGTCCACTCTCCATGTAGCAGCCACCTTGTGGTCTGTTACCCTGGATGAGTTTGCTTGGCTTCACTACTGCCTCTCCTTTCCTGAAACACTAGAGTCTCCTACACCTGGAGGACTTGGCACTTGCTCTTCTGTCTGGACTGCTCAAGCCCAGCCATGCCAAGGCTTGGCTCAAAGTCATCTCTGCCACAGGCCCTCCTAGCCACCCTGACACAGTCCATCCTGGCAGTCCTTCACAGCCAATGGAGGTCAACCTTATACTACTTCCAGGAGCTTTGTTCTAGGGGGGCTTTGCTCATTCATTTTTTCACTGGTTTGTTTTCTGGCTTGCCCCCAAGGATGTGACAACTTTCATTACTGCAGCAACTGTTCTCTCGTGAACATCATCAACTTCCAGCCAGGCACAAGGCCTGACAATAACGTAGGTGCTCAGTTAACATGTTGGCTCATTGAGGAGGTGAGAGGAAGAGCCAGACCAAGGAAGGAGGCAGTGGATGTCTGAGGCTGTGTGACTTCCTTGTGACAGGCACACATATGCTCATGTGTAGTCAAGAGGAGTGTATGATTGAGGAACCTGAGGAGGGATAGGCAACGGGAGGCCAACCTTGTGTTGTTGCCATGCCCTGGAAGAGGTGGCATCCCAAGTCAGATAGTGCTACTGAGAGCTCAGGAAAACACATCTAGAAAGACCTCAGGGCCATACCTCAGTGTCAGCAGTAGCCACCTAGTGGGGCTGGCCAGGGTTGCCAAGCAACTGGGAGGGGAGGAAGCAGAAGTGAGCAGAGCCAGCTGTGACTGAAGACATGGACAGAACCTGGGAAGGAAGTCCTCATTGGTGTCTGGACAGGACCTGGAAAGGAAGTCCTCATTAGTGTCTGATCTTTCCCAGCAGTGCTTAGGCCACTTGAGGCACCAGCAGCAAAGGAGATGGATCGTCCAGGGTCATGGGTTGGAGGAGAAAGACAAAAAAGTCTTAAACAGTGAGGCCTCAGAGAGGCCAAGGTGCTCTGTCCTGGGGTCTCAAACAGCAAGTGCTTGGAAGTAAAAAAATCTGATCAGACTGGAATGGTGGTTGAGAATCCTCACCACAGACATTCCACACATATATTTCACACATATATTTCACATTTGCAGTCTGGACCCCTTTTTTTTCCCTGTAGTATTGAGGTTTGAATTCAGGCCATTGTGCTTGCTAGGCTGTGCTCTGCCACTTGAGCCATGCCTCCAGTCCTTCCCCGCTTCCTCCCTCCCTCCCTTATATATATGTATACATTATTTGCACCATATTCATTCTCCTACCCCTTTACCCACCACCTCCCACTGGTGCCAACCTCCCCCTCCCACCGCACCACCACAGGGCAGAACCTGTTCTGCCCTCTGCCTTATTAATTTTTTGAATAGGGTATTTTGGTTTTGTTTGGACTAAGATGTTTACAATTTCTGCTTCTCAAGTGTCTGGGATTACAGGTGTGACGTACTGTGCAGACTTATAGTCTGGACTTTTTATGGAGAATTTGAAGTTCCCAACCTGGCACTGTTAGTAGTTTTCTGAACTGATAGTGCTGGGTGGGCCCTGGCCTTAAACTCCTGCTGCTGTGACTCCAAAAAGAAAATGACCTGTGTAGAATTGCAAATAATGCATGTAGCTGCTGTGCTGTGAAGGAGGAGGAGGAATGGGATTCACAAGGCTGCTCCTGAAGTGTCAGCTGTACAGCCAGACTTCCTTCCAGAAAGGACAATGTGGAAAGGGGTGGGGGAGAATTCAACAAACTGACTGCCCCAACCAGGTGATCAGGATGGTATGACATTGACAGCATAGGCACTTAACCCTCAATCAGATGTGGTTAGTAAGGCACTTCACCTCTGTGGTCTTCTTCACTGAAATTCATCACTCCAACCAAAATCACTAGACAGACCCAGAATAGGGGACACTGTATAAAACACCAACCAGGCCTTCTGCAGAATGGCTTGGCCATCAAAAATAAAGACAGTCATGGGGGCAGAGGGAGGAGGTAGGGGGGAGAAATGACCCAAAGAGCGTATGCACATATGAACATATGAGTAAAGAAAAAAAAATAAGGGCAGTCTGAGCAGCTGTCAGAGCCCAGAGGAGCCTAGGGAGACCTGAGGACTAAATGTAGGGTAGAATCCTGGGACAGTGGCCTTAAGGGAAAAACTAAGGACATCAAGTATGGACATTAGCAGTATGTTTTATTGTAAGAAATGTACCATGCTCGTGTAAAATTTTACTAAGAGGGGAAGCTGGTAGGAGGACTCTCTGTGTATTAATTTTCCCAAGGAAAAATGTTTACTTGAAAAAGTGGCAACAAATGAAAAGAAAATGCAAGACTGAGTTATGCTGTCCACAGGGTTTGGGGTCTTGTTTTTAGTGAGAGTGGTCTGGGTTTCATCTGCTGTTGGCTCAGCTACCATGAGAATCTCTGCCTCTGCATGGCTTCAGGCCTTTCATGTACCTACTCCCTCTGGTGCCCAGAGCAGAGTGAAGTAAGTGCTGACTAACATTGTGGGTGACAGCTTGAGCTAGAATGTGAATTGTGCTCCTTTAGTTAAAGGGTTTGGCTAGGTATCCTCTGAGACACACCGCCCGCAGCTATGTCTCCCTGGGCCTTCCCCCTGCTGTGTTGTGTCCCTCCCCTGGTATCTGGTTGGTGGTTGCTCCTGCCTGAACTGAGTGTTCCACAAAGAGGGGATTGGGACCCCTACCTGTCACCTTGCTCTTCTTTGTGGACTGGAGTTTTTACTTTTTTTTTTTTTTTTTTTTTTTGTGGAACCTAGGATTTAAACTCAGGGTTTTATACTTGCAAAGCCCTACCACTTGAGCCACACTCCCTGTCCGTTTTGCTCTGATCATTTTGGTCTCAAGAACTGTTTGCCCAGGCTGGCCTTGAACCTTGATCATCCCAATCTCAGTTTCCCAAGTAACTAGGATTACAGGTGGTGAGCCCCCTGCGCTCAGCTTTTCATCTTTACTACAACTGTCCTGAATTTGAGCTGGTGACATTGTTACTTACAGTGGAGTCTGCTGCCAGGAGAGGACCTGGAATCTTGGCCAGGGCTGGGGCTGCTTGGCAGGCTGGGGATTTTCTCAGCTCTGGCTTCTCCTTGAACTCCCAGCTCTCTACTGCTCTTCAAGTGTGTCCAGATGGCTTTAGGTTCAGGAAAGGGAATGGAATGAGTGTTCAGTGGTGCCAGAACCAGCAAGCCTACCCACTCTGAGGAACAAGATATCAGAGAACCAGCAGGGACATAAGATAGACATCCCATAGTCTACCTGGCCCTGCACACGGGCTTGGCCTGCTATAACTCTCCTCATACTCACGTACCCAGACCCCATAGTGCTCTTCAGTTCCACAGGATGCAGTCAGTAGCACATTATTACTGTTTAAATAACTTTTAATTACAAAATGAGTTTGCTAAAGAAAGTTTGCCACCATCTCTAATATGGTTCCCCAAAGACCACTTCTATTGACTCTTTGTTGTGTTATTTTCGTCTTCTCTTTTTCTGCCCTTACCCTTGAGCTTGGTCCGATAAAATCCTGTTGGTTCTCACTGGCAGCCAGTTTACCAATATCTTCATGTTCTCCTGCACAGGACACAGCTTGGGCTATGGCTTTGTGAACTATGTGACTGCAAAGGATGCAGAGAGAGCGATCAGCACGCTGAATGGCCTGAGGCTCCAGTCAAAAACCATTAAGGTAAAGATACCTAATCATATGTCATCCATTCCTATCCCAAGCAGGGGTCATGCTGTGCCCTGGCCTGGCCTTTCACTGTCTAGGGGATCATCAGATTGACTGTTCCTCTGAGGCCTGCCGCATCTGGAAGTCTCCATCAAATAGGTACACACTTGGTCACCAAGTCAGTCCTCCCCAGCTTGTTTCTTCTCCTTGCCTTGCCATTTCCCTTCTCCATGTGGATCCTGTCCTCCTGGAAGTGTGTGACCGTCTTTGCTCTCCTGCCTAGGGCTCCCTTCTTGCTTCCTCACACCAGTCATAACTCTTCTCTCACCAGTTCATTCAGCATCCATTGAGTACCTGCTCAATAAACTCACTCTCCAGACAGTGACCAAAACAGATTCAGTGTCCTCATGGAACCAGGAGCCAGGGGGAAGTGGCTGCAGTCAGTAAACAAGAAATAGGAAAGCCACATGTGACACAGGCAGGTGGTTTGGGGGGAGGCTTCAGGGTGACAGGTGATAATGGAACCTGCCATGCAGTGCCCTGTGGGAGGGGCCTCAGGCAGGGCTCTTGTGTTCTCCTCAGTCAGCAGGTCCTTCTGGTTGCACAGATCAGCTTCTTCTGCCTCTGCATCCCCCTGAACCTGCTGCCTCAGCCACTCTCTCTGTTTGGATGGTTTTCTCACAGCAGGACCCCACCTCCTCCCTGACCCCACGATCTGTCTGGCAGCCCCTGAGTATGGTAGTAGCTGCTGTCCAGAACCAGCCTCATGTTCTCTCCAACCTTTGTTTCTTCACCCACTGTCAGTCCTAGGCACCACCGGCCTTCCCTGAGCCTCTGCCCCATGACCTTACTTTGTGCCATAGCTACATAGCTTCTTTGGCCACTGTCTTTCTCACGGGCTCTGGTCTTGTGCCCACAGACCTGGGTTGTTAACCTCTTGTTCCCAAGACATACAGACATACACCTACTGGAATCATCTCTATTGATCTGAAGTATTGAGAGTGAGATTGTCCTGTATGAAATGTACAGGACATTATCCCTCCCCATAAGAGGATACTCCTTTCAGTTCACACACATCAGTGCGTAGGGGGATCCCTTTTAGGACCTGCACAAAAATGTGTTTCCTGGGCTTACATGAGTATCAGAACCACCTGGGGACTTGAAAAATACAGGTGCACAGGGCTGCATTTGATTTCTAGAGTGACTGCAGGATGGCCCTGGCAATATTATTATTATTGTTGTTATTATTTTGCAGTACTGGGGCTTGAACTCAGGGCCTACACCTTGAGCCACTCCACCAGTCCTTTTTTTGATGGGTTTTTTTGAGATAGGGTCTTGCAAACTGTTTGCCTGGTGCTGGCTTCAAAACAAGATCCTCCTGATCTCTGCCTCCTGAGTAGCTAGGATTACAGGTGTGAGCCACCAGCGGTGCCTGGTGCAACATTATTTTTGCCAGCTCATCAGGGAAGCCTGCTCACCTGGGCAAAGCAGTGCACATTCAGTCTGGAGGGTTCTGCTCCGTCCTTAAATTGGTCTGTGATCTTGGTTACTGGGTGGTCAAACCCTTCCTGGAACTACTAAGAAGCAGATTTCTTTGCTGTGCCTTGTGCCAGGTGGACTTGGAGCTGCTCCAGGGCAGAAGGACAGCTCATGCATGTACCCTTGTATGTGGCACAGGCTCCTAAAGACCCCTTACACAGTAAAGGTTAATGAAGGCAGCCACTTGTTCTGGCATGTTCTCCTAAGCAGGGACTTTGATTCTTTGGCCCCAGCCCCAAGTGTGCACCCTACCTCTTAGGAATTATCTCCCTCATTTGGAAAAGGCTCTCATGCTCTTGTTTCTGAGGCAGCCAAGCAAGGTAGAAAGCAGAACAGTTATTCATAAACGCGGTGTTCTGTTACTCACAGGCAAAAAACACACATCCCTGTATGAATCTGATCCACCATTTGAGGTTGATGTTGACAGGAAGTGACCCTTCCTGAGGCCAAAGCCAGTACCTCATGGGGCCACAAGGGAGCAGGCCTGGGCAGGTGCTGCTGTCCTTCCCTGTCACCCTGACTGAGTGCCTGTGGAAGTCTGCTACACCTTTGACATCCCTGCCTTTGGCCAACTGAATTTGGTTCTCGGCGGTTCTCACTACTGTCCTAGTTCTACAGAAACAGGCCAGTTCCTCATGGACATGATGGCCCTTGGTCATCCTTTCTGGAGTCATCTCTATGTAGATGCTGCCTGGCTCCTTTAGCAGCTCCTCTGGTGTATTCTGGGGTCCTTTGTCTTCCAAGTATGTTCTTTCATTCAGCAAACCTTTACCAAAGGCCCCAGCCAATGCCAGGTGCTAAGCCAGATTCCTAGAGATTGAGAGCCTTTAAATCACCTGCCCTGCTCTGCCTGTCTTGAGAACCCCCAGTTTAAGGGCAGCCCATCTGTGCAGCGTATAAATACGGGTTCATCTCATACATCACCTTTAGTCTGACACCAACTAGTTGACTTTGGTTTTGGTTTTTTTGAGACAGGGTCTCACTGCGTATCCAAGACTATCCTCAAATTCGCAGTTCTGCTTCAGCCTCCCTATATTGTTGGCATTACAGACATGCACCACCACACCCAGCCAGGAGGTATTCTTAGCACTGGTGACTATGTTGATCATTGAGCAGGTATTTAATAAATGCCTGCATCCTCCTGAGTCTGGGTGCTGGGTTATAGCAGTGATCACCCAAGTGTTTCCCTCATGGAGTTGGTTAGGTAAAATACATAGTGTGTCAGGGCATGGTAAATACAATGGTGCTAATAATGAAATAGGGATGGGGGTGGGGCTTGTCATTGAGTTGGTGCAGGGACTCATGCCAATTACATGGTCAAGAACGTGCCAAGCTTGGTACGGCTGCCCCAATACAATACCCCAGACTGCTCAAATAGCAGAAACTTAACCATCTCACAGTTCTGAAGGCTGAAAGTCTTGAGGTCGAGGTGTCAGCAGGGCTGGTTCTTCTGGAGGCACTGGGGAAGGATCCACCTGAGGCCTCTTCCTCACTACTGGTGCTTGTTGGCAATCCTTGGCAATCCTTGGCTTGTAGAAGCATCACCCTGCTTTCTGCCCCCATCTTCATTTGGTATTCTTGTATGTATGCCTGTGTCCAAATTTCCCCCTTTTTATAAGGATACAGCCAGAGTGGATTAAGGGCCCACCCTTCCATGTGATGTCATCTTAACTAAATACATCTATAAGGACCCTGTCTCCAAATTAGGTCACATTTTGAGATCCTGAGGAATTAAGATTTAACCATGTGACTTTGAATTGGAAATCAGGACACACAATTCAGCCCCTCACAGGAGATTTCCTGAGAACAGGAAAAGACCAGATTGAAGCTGAAGAACAAGTGTTGATAGGAGCTGAGGAAAGAGGACTCTCAAGGTGCCATGGAGCAGCACCCTAATGGTTCCTGTAGTGCCAGCTGCTCTAGTACAACCCCATGTGATTATTGTTTGACTCTGAACTTGACAGTGGCTGGAGAGCAGAGTAAAGCAGAGTTATCATGGTCCTTGAAGACAACCATTGCCCTTTGGTATGGAAGTTTTCTCCAGCATTTGACTCCAAAAGGTGTTTCTCCTTTGGGGCATCATCTGGGGAAGTGCCAGCTCTGCTCAACAATGCTAGAGCTCCCAGTTTGGGAATGCCCATTCCCACTACATCTTCTGTTGGAAGCTGAGGAATGATCCATCCTGCATGTAGCCTCGGTCAGCACTCAGGGTGGGGTGGTCTTGGGCAGCAGCTAGCTCCCGCTCCCGCCTAAATCTGGGAAAGCAAAGAGTAGCTGGAGACCCTGGGGTGGGGAGGCTGGATGGTTGACCCAGACACTTTTAGATCTCTGTGGGGAGGCTATGGGCCAAGGTGGGAAGTGCTGTATGTGTATCAACTCCTGACCTCAATCATGGAATGGCCAAGTGTCCCCATGGAATGGCTCCTGCCCCACAGGCTGAACCAAGGTTCTCTGGGCCTAGGAGCAGATGGGGAGCTTCCAGGAAACATTGGCATATGCAGCTCCCCTTCATCAGAGGCACCCCTCCCCCAGGCCCCTGACTATACCTTGTGCCCCTTAGTTTCCTTCCTGCCTGGTATCACTCAAGAGGTTCATTGCTCCCTGCAGTATGTTCTCAGCAGTTCTGTGTCTCTCAAAGAGAACATTCTCTCTCCTGTACTGCTTCAAGCCCCACCCTTCAGGAACACTCTCCCTCTTCTATGCCTAGGCTCCTGGATTGCTTTGTGAGTTCTGCTGCCCTGCCAGACTATTCCTCTGCAAGCAGAAGGACCTCCTGCCAGCTATACCTTCTCATCAGGGGTAGCCTTGGTCCCATCCCTCCTGGTCTGTGGTATCCATATAGCCAACAGTGTCCACCTGGGAAAGACCAAACACCTTGTTGTTGCCTCTGGGGCCTCCCTCCCCATCATCCAGCACAGACATTAATAGTGAGCATTTGAGGGACAGACTTGGGTCCCACTGGGCTTCTGTGAGAAGCTTGCCTCTTGGCAGGAAGTGTTATATATGCTCACAGGGGCTCCCAGCTCTTCTGTGTGCCACACCTCATTCTCCTCTCAGGTGGGGACCAGATCCTGTCCCAGCCCCAACTCACTGTTCAGTTCATCAGACAGTAAAACAGGCAACCCAAGCTTGGATCCCAGCCCTGCCACCCACCACTGTGGGTCCTCAATCTCTTGACTTTCCAAAATAGGAATAATGGCCACTTTGTTGAAGATAGTAAGGATCACCATGTTACTAAGTGAGAAAACACTTCAAGGTGTCTTGGCTCATAGCCTGTCTCATAGTGAGTTGATAGCACAGGCTGCTACAGATCATGAGCATTAAAATGAAAAGTTGTCATGTGCACTTTCCTGCCACAGCATTGACTTTTCTTAATTCTACATTTTGATGCCCTCCTTGGTGCTTTGGCTGTGTACCCAACCTAATCCTAGAATGTGGTTTTGTTTTTAAGGTGTCATATGCTCGCCCGAGCTCAGAGGTCATTAAAGATGCCAACTTATACATCAGTGGGCTCCCAAGAACCATGACCCAGAAGGACGTGGAGGACATGTTCTCTCGGTTTGGGCGAATCATCAACTCCCGGGTCCTTGTGGATCAGACCACAGGTATGGCAGGCGGCAGGGACGGGCTTAAGGGCGTTCCTCCAGGCCAAAGACCAGGTGTTCTAGGGAAGGAGGATCACTGTTTGGTTTTCAGAATCATTAGATATTCTTCAAATAAAGGACAAATGGAAATGTGAAGACCTTAGCTGAGGAAATTAGATGGCATTAAAAGAAGTCCAACATTTTATAATAAAACTCCAAGGAATTCTGGCACCTCCTCTTAGGCACCCAAATGACTTCATCTACCATGCATGAGTGGAGTGGAGTGGAAAGGCAGTTGCTCATCTGTCCACTGCAGTTCCTATTGCAGGCAGATGGTGTGTTACTGTCTCTTTTTATGGTTCCAAGCCCTGACTTTGTATTGCTTTCAAGCAACACTGTTTGCTGTTTCAGGTGGACCCTTCTTCAGTCTTCATAATTGCTATGCTCCCTTCCAGGGAACAAGCTCAGAGTGCACAAAGGCAGTGAATTATCTCGCTAGCATCCTAGCCACTTGGCCCAGTTCCTCCTGGGCCACCTCAGTATAGGACTTGAGCTCTGGGCTGTATGTGAAGCCATTGGGCACAGATGAACCAAAGACCTACATACACATGCTGAAGGCTGTGCTTCAACCCTTCTGCCTGCCTGCCTGTCCTACTAATCTAGGGACTGGGACCAGGACATTCTGGACTAAGCCTCATGTGCAGCCCTGTCTTCAGGGCAGGCCCCTCCTACTTTAGAATCCATGTGCTTTCTTCCCAGCAGGAGTGGGAATTTGCTGACAAACCAGAAAGGAAGTCTGTTCACAGGCTCACTGGGGCTCAGTGAAGCCCATTCCATCACCTGTAGTTTTTTTACTTTCTCCCCACACAGATTGCATGCCCCACCCCTTGGCTGTGGGTAGTTGAACTGTGGTAGTTTCAGCTTGGGGATGACCTCCCTTTTGAGAGACCAGCAGTGGGTGGACCCATACAATCCCTGCCTTATCCCTGGTCCTTCCAGGTCATGGCAGGCAGGGTTGGAACTGTATACATTGAGCTGTATCCCTCTGAGCTGTGTGCTGTGGGACAGTGGCCTTGTCAGCTACTCTGCCTTCTCCCAACTGGCTGTAGCAGCTCTGCCTAGTGGACTCTGGGACTCAGTCCTAGCACTACCATGTATGGAAAACTCTCAATTGGAGCCCTCCCTCAGGAACACCCTGTACACACAAACCATGCTTTCCTGGGTTCTCCCCTCACCATTGCTCCCTTCCTTGGACTTCTCTTACTCACTTCGGCAAGGGGACTGGAAGCCCCCACCCCCTACTCAGACAGAACTTTATTTTTTAATTTCTTTCATTCATCCTTAATTGTGAACTTTATTAGTTCACTTATCTGGAGATTGTGCCATTTCTTGGTCTCTGCTATTAATCCAGAAAACACTAGAAAAAATAAAAGCAAAAATAGAGCCACCTTCAAAAATTATAAGTTCATCAAATAATTTAATGGTTTTATATCCCCTTTCATGAAATACCATTATTTTTTGTTTCCAGGTTTTCTTCATTTCACTCAGGCAGTTCTCATTCAAACACCATTGTATAAAACTAGGCAAGGAAAGCACACTTGTACAAACACTTTCTCTGCTTTGTCACAGGTCTTTAGGAATAGAGTGATGTCTCTCTGAAGTGGTTCTGTGTGAGAGCCAGCCTGTCACAGCTTTCAGTCCAATTGGCCTAATGTTAGATTTGTATTTAGCTGCGCAGGACTAACTAATCTGTCATTCGTGCCACATAAGAGTAAATAGAAACCCAACATGGGCTTAGTGTGTGACTTCAGGTATCTTTCAAATTTGAAATTTGACAGTGAGGTCAAGGCACTAACATCTTTGTAACACTGTGTATTGCTAGGTCTGACCTTACTAAGTCATTTGAAATGTTTTCTTTTGTTTCGAGGGGATTGAACATGGCCTCACACATGCTAGGCATATAAATTTAAATAGTCATGGAACCCTGGTAGTGGCAACTTTGAAACTGCTGTGTTGGGGGAGGGATGGCCCCAAGATCAGGAGGAGAATCCCAGTTGGAGAGTTGGAGTGTGAGCTTGAGGACTCAGTAGAGAGAGGTATCCAAGACTTTCTACATTTGTAAAGAAAGAGTCCTTGGCTGTTGTCCGCGTCCTCATGCAAAGCTCACAGTATCTCAATCATGGGTGTATTGAGAACCTTTCTGGAAATGATGAGGAAAAATGCCAAAATGTAGGAAGGGATTTGAGGACAGGTGGCTCACTAAGTGGATCACCTGAAGTCCTGGGCTCTCTCATTTTGGTCATTATCATTCACCATGTGCAAAAAGTCCTTTTCCTAGAGAAGCCCCACTTCGCCTTTGCTAGTCTTGAGAATGAGGGTGCTTAGCCAAGCTGGGGAAGCCTCTCCTGCCTATGAGCCCAGAGAAGTCACTTGGACAGGCCTCTTAGCCATTACCTTTCCCCATACTCTGTCCTTCCCCTCGGCTTTAACATTCTTCTTCCCCGGAGAAGGAGCCAGTCTGCCCCACTGTCAACACATCTATGCCTTGCCCCATTCCTCAAGCTCTTCCAGGGACAGAATCAACCCATTTTCTCCTCCCAGAGGCCTAGAATGTGGACAGGTAGCAAATGAAGGGTGGCTGGGCCCTTCCTTTTCCCAGTTTGCTCTGTATCTCACACTCCAGCTGGGCTGATGACACTGCCTTCAGCAATCAGGCCTCGGGTTTCAGGCTGCTCAGGTGAGGGATTGGCTTCCAAAGGGAGGGCAGGGCTTGCCTTCAGGTGGCTAGGAAAGGTTTCCTCTTGCCCCTTGATGCTGTGCCAGTTGGACCATGGCCCTTTCCATAGAGGGGCTCCTATCAGTGGCTTGTGATTCTCCTGGTGAATCTGGTGGGTTCTGCTCTGTTGTCCATGTGGGGAGGTTTTCTGTAGAGAGGGCAAGTGACCTAATTTGTTTCTGAGGGCAGTTGGGGTTGATGGGAGGTCCTTGGGCCTCACAGGAGAGCCTGTAAGAGATGAGTGAAGCAGCAGGGCAGGAAAGAACTAGGAGAAGGTTGGTTCCAGTATTGCATACTCTCCTGAAGTCATTGAGAAGGTCTGTAGGCTGAGGCAGCCAAAGGTGGGCTCAGGTCAAGCCAGAAAGGCCTGGTGGGGCTTCAAGTCTTACCCTCATCGCCCTCCACCTGGCTATTACTCCTTACAGTGGACGTTTGGAGGCAATAGCTGGGACACAGGCCTACAGCAAAAGAGGAGTTCTGACCCAGCCCTCTGCCTAGGGCCACACTTCCTAGAATGTCCATGCACCCATACTGTGTAAGGCAACTGGTGGCTAAGTAGTGACCAAGACACTATCTTTCCTGGTGTTGCTTTCCTTTAGAAAACAGGCTCAGGGTATCTGTTTAGGATATGTGTTACCAAAATATCTTTTGGTAGCAAGACTGTGGTTGCCCTTGCTTCAACTGGAAAAAGAGTCTGAACCCTTAATCTTTTATTATCATTGGTTGTTTTCTTTAATATGTTCATTTGTTTTCATGTTTAGGTTTAATTTTATTTATTTCATTAACTAGATGTCCAATTTGAAGCGTAGTAGATTGACTTGACTTTTGCTTTTCAGTTTTACAAGTCCTTTTTTTTTTTCCCCTAATTCCTTTTCTGTTGGTTTGTTAAAAAGGTTTGTCCAGAGGGGTTGCGTTTATCCGGTTTGACAAACGGTCGGAAGCAGAAGAGGCAATTACCAGTTTCAATGGTCATAAACCCCCAGGTTCCTCTGAGCCCATCACAGTGAAGTTCGCAGCCAATCCCAACCAGAACAAAAACATGGCCCTCCTCTCGCAGCTGTACCACTCTCCTGCAAGGCGGTTCGGAGGCCCCGTGCACCACCAGGCACAGAGATTCAGGTGGGTCTGTAGGTTGTGTGCTGGAAGTCTGCCATGCTCTTTCAAGTTGCATGCAACCCTGCGGGCGGATGGCTACACAGAGTAGATAACACTGGGGACATGAGGCCAATCCTAACAGAGTTGCCTCTCAGGACCATTTCCTAGCTCTGTCCCCACCTCCATCAAAAGTATCTGTACAGCTGCTCTTGGTGAATCATGCCTGTATTTCCCAACTTCTTGGGAGGATTGTGGTTCAAAGCCTTATAAAAAGTCAACGAGACCCCATCTCAACCAATTAAAAAGTGGGTATGGTGGTGTGCACCTGTCATCCTAGGTAGCAGAAAGCATAACTAGGAAGATCGTGGTCCAGGCCAGCCTGGGCATAAATCAAATAGGTAAAACCCTATTTGAAAAATGACTAAAGCAAAAAGAACTGGAGGCATGGCTCAAGGAGTAGAGCATCTGCCTAGCAAGCATGAGGCCTTAAGTTCAACCCTCAGTACAACAAAACAAAAACAGAGGTGAGAATGAGGTGTGGGTCAAAGAAATCAGCTCCCATCAGTAGGAGAAAGACCAACAGACATGAATAATTCTTAATGAGAGTCATTTGCTGGATATTGGCCATGGTGGTATAAGCCTGTAATCCCAGCATGTGGAGGAAAGATTATGGTAAACTAGTACCCTAGCCGGGTGCCAGTGATTCACGCCTGTAATCCTAGCTACTCAGGAGGCACAGATCAGGAGGATCTCAGTTTGAGGCCAGCCTGGGTAAATAGTTCTCGAGACCCTATCTCAAAAATAGCCAATGCATAAAGGGGCTGGTAAAGTGGCTCAAGTGGTAGAGCTCCTGCCTAGCAAGTGTGAGGCCCTGAGTTCAAACCCCAGTATCACCAAAAGTACCCCAGATTATTTTCAGGATACAGTTGTCCCTCATTGTACATGGGGGATCGGTTCCAGGACTCACCCGCTCAGATGCCAAATCCTCGGATGCTTGAGTTTCTTAGATAAAATGGTATCATGTTTGTATAGAACCCACACACGTTCTCCCAGAGACTTCACATCATCTCTAGGTGATTTATGACATATCCTGACACAATATAAATGCCATGGAAATAGTTGTTACACTGTATCATTTAGGGAATAATGACAAGAAAAAGGTCTACACATTCAGGACAGATGCAGGGGTTTTGCAGATACTTTCTTTGATTGGAAGTCTGTTGAATTGCAGATTCAAAACAGGTGGATAGAGCCGGTCAACTAAAATATCTATGTGAAAATTTCGGCTACTCTGATGACTTGGGACTGCAGTGTTGGCATCTCCTTCCAGTTCTCATTGAAAAGTAGCTTGGCCTAGTGTTCCACAGATACCTGGGGTGCCTTTTCCCACCCCATGTCAATGATACTGTGGTCTCCTTGTCCAAGATGGCCTTAGGACCACTGAAGGCACCCCAAATCAGGTGTTCCCAAATCAGCCCTAAGCCCAATACAGTTTTCATTTACAAAACATGTAAGGTGCAGCATAGCTTCGCTAACAGTTTTACCATCCACCTTAGTCCACCGCAGTCCTTCTGTATCCACATGTTTTCCAGTTTTGTTTTTTTTTTTTTAAAGTAAACAAAAGTTATCGCGGTGGGAAGTGCTCCATGAGTTGGTCAAGTTGGGTGACCTGTGGCTGCTGATGTTCTGACACCTTCACAGCTCTCAGTGTTTGGCCCTGGTCCTTGTGGGATGGATTGAGCCAGCCCAAAGCTGTGGCGAGGAGTTCCTGTAACCTATAATAGCCCCATGCAGGGTTGTGCTCTCACTAGAGTCCTTTTGGCTTGCTGTGACCCCTGGGGGGAGGGTGTCATGATGAGAAGGGACTAAACTTGGAAAAAGAACTTCCTTCTCTCTCCACACACATAAGCGCACATGTACACTTACACCAGGGAGATTGGCAGTGTGGGACACCTACAGGTGCTTTTATCTGCCTAGGAGGATGTGGAAGAAGCACCATCATTTAAAATGTGGGAAGGACCAGGTGTGGTGTCTCATGCCTATAATCCCAGCTAGTCGGGATGTAGAGTATTGTGTGTCGAGGCCAGCTGAGGTGTGAAGTTATGGAGACCCCCATCTCAACCAGTAAGCCTGGAATGTTTACTCAATTCTGTGGTCCCAGCTACATGGGAGGACTAAGGAGCATTGTGGTTTAGGCTAACCCAGGCAAAAAAAAAAAAAAAAAACCCTATCTAAAAAAATAACTAAAGCAAAATAAATAAATTAATTAAAAGACTGCATGTATGGCTCAATTTGCGGAGGACTTGGAGGCATGGAGTTTAAACGATAGTACCGCAAATACGTAAATATATTAGATAGGTAGATACGAGTGAGACTAGGGATGTGGTGGTGCACAAATCTGAGTTACAGCCCAAGCACCACAAGAAATAAAGTAAGATGGAGCAGGCCACAGAAACAACTGAACAGCCCTCCGTACACACACACACACACACACACACAGGGATGGAGGCAGTGAACCCTGTAATTTATACAATTAGTATGGTTTTTTTTTTAAAGTAATTTTTGACACAAGTGGTACCGCAGTCTTGAGCAACTGCATCTTGGAGGAGCTGGGCTGCATAGAGAAGGAAGGGGACCCAATGTCCTTATGTTGGTGTGTGCCTGAGCCAGATGTCCTATTCCTGCCATCCCCTGCTGCTCCTATGTCACCAAATCACCTGCACTGACCTTGACCTGAACATGTGCTCTCTGTTTGCTAGGTTCTCCCCTATGGGTGTAGATCACATGAGTGGGATTTCTGGTGTCAATGTCCCCGGAAACGCTTCTTCGGGCTGGTGCATCTTCATCTACAACCTGGGGCAAGATGCTGATGAGGGGATCCTCTGGCAGATGTTTGGCCCCTTTGGCGCAGTCACCAATGTGAAAGTGATTCGTGATTTCAACACCAACAAGTGCAAAGGGTTTGGTTTTGTGACCATGACAAACTATGAAGAAGCTGCAATGGCCATAGCAAGTCTGAATGGCTACCGCCTGGGGGACAAAATCTTACAGGTTTCCTTCAAAACCAACAAGTCCCACAAATAACTCGCTCATGCTTTTTTTGTACGGAATAGATAATTAAGAGTGAAGAAGTTGAAACTTTTTTGTTAGTGTACAACTCATTTTGCGCCAATTTTCACAAGTGTTTGTCTTAGTCTAAATGAGAAGTGAAAAGGTTTTTATACTCTGGGATGCAACCGACATGTTCAAATGTTTGAAATCCCACAATGTTAGGCCAATTTTAAGTTTCTTAAGTTATTTCCTTTAAAATATATATTAAACAGAAACCTAAGTAGACTGCATTGATTAACCAGTCCCTCTGGATGGTGGTGGAACTGAAGCATGCTTTAACTTCTAAGACTGTCTAACACTCGTTATACTCGATGTCTCCACAAACTGGATTTAAAAAACAATCTTTTAGTTTTAGTTTTTAATCTAAAGATGTTAGACAGATGTCGAGTGTACGTTTTTTTTTTAAGCGATTTATGCTTTGGTTGACAGGAAATTGCTTTCCCAAGCAGGTTCCGCTGCCACCTCCTGCTCACTCAGTCCTGGGCTCTGTGGAGTGGTTCTGGGAGTGGCAGCGCACCTATCCCTTGTGGGCTACCACCAGGGAGGGGGTCCACATGCTGGGCCGGGCTGGGCCCTCCAGAGGACACAAAGGTGTTTCCTTAGCCCGGGCACCAATGGGAATGGACCAAAGAGTTTCAGGGAAACTCCAGTATATTCCAGAGTCAGACCTGAGCTCCAGGCACACCTGAAGATGTGTCGCTCCTCTGACATCCCCAGTTGCTGTCCACACATTGCATGCACAGTGCCCCACACATCAGACACTGTTGTTCACATGATTTCTCCAGTTTCCAAGAGCATTTAACATAGCTTGAATGTGCAAGATAGCTCTATTTTTTAATAACACATAAACATTTGAGCATTGTATTTCTCGCATCCCTCCTTGTGAGCGCTAGACTTTTTCTATCTTAGTCGGATTTTGTTTTGGAATTTTGCTTTCTTATGGACACTCAGCAGAAAAGTACTTCTTGCCAGTTATCTATTAACAAAACCTTTGATTTGTAGTTTTAAAAATTAACCCTCAAAGTTCTCTTCATAACTGCCTTGACATTTGGGGTTGTTCTGTTCTGTTAATTTTCTTTTGCTTTTTTGTGTTTTTTGTTTGTTTTTACTTTTGCATTTAAGACCATTAAATTTGATTTTGTTTTGCTCGAGTTTTGTTTTGTTTTTTATTTTACCTTTTCTTTCTTTTTGGCTAGGGAAGGCACAGACAGCCCAGCATTCAGGGAGGAGTCGTAAGACCTTGAGAAACAAAACACTTGTCTCAAAGAGAAAGCATTTCTGAATCCATGGCGTAGGAACACGGTCATGGATTAGTGGTTCTTAACCTGAGAGCTGGCAGGAAGGGGCCAAGGGAAGGCCTGCGGAGGAGATAGGGCCGGTCCCCTGCAGCTTCTCAGGAATGTGATCTGAGTTTTTAAATAACTAGTGTACAGAAAGAATCAAAACCAGGATAACTCAGTACTGGCAGATCTTAGCCTTGATCTGAGATAAAATATCTAACGACAGGCTGTTTTTTAAGTTCTTGGAATCATGGGATGATAGCATTATTTATTTATTTATTTATTTATTAATCTAACTATTTAAGTAGAAATTTGAGCAACAAGCACAGTCGTCTCCAGAGCAGGTCAGCATCTCAAGAAGCCCTTGGACAATTTGAGGCTGCCTGCCCCCTGCCCCCTTTCTCTGACCTTCATAGAGGGCCTGTTTCAGGGCAACCTGAAGAGGTTGCCCCACACTCAGGCTCTGTTGTATAGAAGTGGGCTTTGTGCTATACAGGGCCTCCTCCCACCCCCATCCCAGAAATCCCAGGTCCTCACTCAAAGCCAACACATGGGGCCTCCTCCTGGAACCTAGAATCCAGGCCCATCTGCCTGGATCCAACACAAAAGGGTCCCTGCTCTGTTGCCCTGGAGCGCTCCTCCCCTTGGGACCAGAATGTTTTCCTGGAAAAAAGTAGCCCTTTCTGGTTCCTTGGACCAATGTCTGAGTGAAAGTGGGATTCCTAATCCAGAAACTTTCCCTGCCATCCTCACACTCCTGCACATTGCTGCAGCTTAGCTAGAATCCCATCCCTGAAGGGGATTCTGTCTTAAGTCTTAATTGTTAAGGGCACCATGAGCTCGCAGCCAGAATCTCAGCTGCTCTCCTCCCCTCCTCTCCTGTTTGCTTCCTAGTTATTGTTCTGATGCTGGAACATGGGAGTGGGAAACAGAGTATGCCAACTTGTGGAGGTGGTCTGGGTTTCTCAGTTCAGTGAACTGGTCTCCACTGTTTGAACAGCCTTCTAGATAAAAATCACAGTGCATTTCTCCAGGAGCTTTGATTTGCCAGTGTGTAGAAGACTTAGCTTTTGATACGGCATTTCTGAAAGCAGTTCTCACCCCATCAAAGAACCTAGGTGCTGGCCCTGGGCTCAGAGAGTTCATTAATTTCCAGGCCTGTTTGCAAAGAGGCCATCTCAGAACCCTGGGGGGCTGGGGATGTAGCTCAGTGGTAGAGCCTTTGCCTAGCATGTGCAAGGCCCTGGGTTTTTAGCACTGCAAAGAAAAAAAGTCACAACCCAAAATAAATCATTTTAAAAAAATTTTTTACAAATTCATGAGATTTGTACAGAGCAAAAATGAGTGCTTTTCAGTCATTCAGGAATTTGATGAAAAAGAATAAAGAGTAGATAATGCTAGATTATTAAAATTTTGGTTTGGTGAATACCAAAGAGGTTTTGATTGAATTCTCTTTTGACCTATGTCATTTCCTGTGGTAGTTATTATACTTTGAGCAGCTCCAAATTGGTGAACCTGTTTCTGGTTGAATTACCCACTTCTCCCCAAGTGGCTCTGCCCCAATTTAGCTTTTCCATGTAATGTGCCAAGTGTGACTTTCTGTGCTGGCTATGCCTGTGATCGCAGTACTGTGACATTCCCTACCCCCAAACCTGAGGGTACCTAGTCCCCTCCACAACCACCATTCCACATCACTATCTGAAAGTGGGGCTTCCTTGGGGCCCCATGCGGATGGTGCTGGGTGGGTTCTGCCTTCTGACAGGTGAGTCTCCCTAGCCAAGGGCAGCTGCCTTAACCTTGGAGAGTCTGCACTTGTATTAGTTCAGGAAACCTCAGGCATCCATGGACTGAACCACACTGATGTAGAGAGCCAAAGCTGTCACCTTGGAACTGGCAATCAAGGGGCTCCTTCTGGGTAACAGAAGTAGGTGAGCCCCCTAAGACAGTTGATAGCAATTAATTATCTACCCCAGTTTGCCTCCAGACAAGAGCCGTTTGTCTATAAGTTACTGAGAAGACATGAGTTATCCCAGTCTGGTGTCAGACTTGAAAATGAAAGTTGACATCAGTTGTCAGTAGCATTTCACGTTAGATTTAGCCTGATACTATTTCCATATGCTTTGTACAATTGGACAAAAGAAAGTAAGAAACTGTCCCCCATCTCAATACCATCACTCCTTCCCATCTTCGTAGGACCTGCCTCACCTACTGGGCCCTGAGGCAGCTCCTTAGGGAAGACCCCTAGGGTTCACCACACTCCCAGGAAGTGGGGGTCCTGTTCCCAAGCTTCCTGAGAGACAAGTGAAGTCACAAGTGCTTTCTGTTGAGTGGCATTGATCATTGACACATTCCAGAGCAGTAGAACCTGAATCTTGATCCCATCAGGGATTTCCCCGACCTCTAATGATTGTATTGTATTTTCCCACAATCTCTCAGTGATGTAGTTCAGGTTTTTCTTGGTCATAGAAAAGGAAATTATTTCATTTATTTATTTATTTATTTATTTATTTTATTTATAAGTCACACACTGCAAGTATCTAAGTTAGGCTGATGGAGACTTTGAGAGGACTGTGTTTTCCTTCCCCTGGAAGAGAAGGCCCAACCACTGGCTGGGGCCACCTCTTTTCCCACGTGATGTTGCGTTTACAGTGGCTTGCTTGGGGGAGGGGGGATTGAACCAACTGATTCCCATGTTGTACCGTAGATGGCTAGACATTTTGTATATTAGTGTGTTTTAAGTTATTGATTTGTTTTATATGAAATAATTTATTTTTCAGGTACCATTTTTCATTTTAACTTTGTTTTTACATGGGTTTGTTTTCAATAAAGTCTGACACTGCTGTCCAAAAGTCAACAATAAAATGAATCCCATTGTGTTCTTTTGAGGATGCTTATGTAACTAGCTTTTTAAATTTACTTTCAGAAACAGGGGGAAAAAAGTCCTTATCAGTTTTCCATTTCCCCATTGCCTTTTTTTTTTCTCTCTCTCTCTCTTTAATCCTTGTGACTAAATGTTCTTTAGTGTTTTAGGAGGAAAAAGCAAACCTAGATTTTGATAATCCAGAAGATTTCAGATTAATAAAGAAGCTTTGAAAGAAGACCATTTTTCAAAATTTTAGTGAAGTGTGAATATTTTTTGTCAATGGCTTTCTCAAAGAGAATGAAACTTTTGCACCATTTTCAGAGTTTTTATAGAGATGCCAAATTGATATATTTACATGTAATGGAAACATGAAAAAGTTTTATTAAACAATTGTTCATAGCTGTGTAGACATTTTAATTCAGTTTCCAAAGCTCTCAAAAGCGTATTTTTGAAGTGCAGAGTGGTAACGGTTCGGGGAGTTACTGATGATTCCAAACAAGTCAATTGTCCGAATACTCAGTTCCTTCCGCAGGTATCAGGTTTGTGTTAAATGCTGTATGTTACCAATGACTGGAATTCTGTGATATTTTGGTAATAAATGAAGTGGGATAATCGCGATGCTACGGTGTAGGGGTGATCATGTGTGACTCGTGAGCAGCTGCAGCCGAGTAAAGCGCCAGGTGACTTCCTCTTTCTTGGCTTGGTAAGCCTGGGCCAGGCCACAGCCTTGACCTGTGCTGGGAGCCACCTATCCCATGACCTCCCTTTGTCTGCCCAGATGTTTCCTCCTGTGGATGAGCTCACAAGCCAGCCTCCTCTCGTCCAAGACTTTGAGGCCCTGCTTTTCCAGGTTCACAGCCCTTGGGCCTGTCTTGGGGTCCCTGGGTGTGGTCTGTTTGTTCCCCATACCATAGCCTGGCCTCCCTTGTTCTGATGTTGGCTCGTGGATCCTCCCTCTTCCCCTCACCCCCAGGTTGGATCATAGTATGGCCATACCTGAGTTTGAGGCCACGTGGGGTTACTGGGACTCCTTTGAGGACAGGAAGGCCAGTGTAACTCTCTAACTTACCCAAAGATAGGACAGTCAGATGGTTTAGGAGCACAAGAGTTAGAGTCCTATGCCCAGGACACCAGCTTGTCCCCCAGACTCCCCTGTTCTTGGGTCTCCTGCCAGCTTTCTCCCCTAGGGGTCCCTCCCACAGCTATTGTTGACCTCTCCTAGGGCATGCCCTCCAGTCTCTGTTCAGGGTTTTCGGCTTGTCTTGGACTGGATCATGGAATTTCAAAATCTGCCTTTCACCTTTCATTCCCAAGGATTGCATTTGGTCTGCTCTGATCTCATAGATTTTCTCAAGTTGAAGGATTTTGCTGCATGGTCCTAAGAGGAAGTGGAAGAGGAGGAGGAGTGAGGACCTGAGTCTGGAGAGGAAGTTGCATTTCAGCCACTGCATGGAGGGAGGGAAGGAGGGAGAGGGATCAGGCCTCAGGAAAGGCTGCTGAAGGACTCTCCCCAGCTGAAGGAACCCAGGACAAGAGGTGGCTGTGAGGATGGGCACAAGAGTGGGCAGATGACAAGGGGAACATACACAGATGCCATTTTCTCTCTGTTAAGTCAGGCCTCCTGGAGAGAGAGACCTTGTGGGTCAGCACTGTAAACCATACACCCCTAACTTGAGCCAAATGGCCAGCCCCAGGTGAGTGCAAAAGGGCTGGGGACAGTAAGGTCCAGAAATAATCCATGAGGGTCCTGGAGGGCCTGAAGCCTTTAAGGAAAATGCCAGAACCACCAAGTGCATGATGCTGGTTTTCCCTACAGATGAACATAGCTTTCTCCTTTGCCCACAAAAATAAAATTGCTACATCCAAGAAGACAGCTGGATGGCTTGTCACCAAATGTGGATGGTAAGGGTCTTCTGGTTGGAGGTGGCAACCAAGAATTCACATCAGGACCCCTCAGAACACTGTCTTGGGGGCAGGCCCAGAATCCTAAGCTCATGGACTATATGCT